TAGATTGGTTCAAAACTGCGTGAAGGGCGAGATCGGGTTAGAGCAGAGACTAGTGGGAAACAGTGGTAGAAAAAGTAACGAGTTTTGTAATTCGTCTGGAAATTTTACGGTGCTTAATAGAAACTAAAAAAAAAGTGCATTCGAGGTTTACGTGGAATACGCGTGGGTGATAAGGTTTACGCACAGATGTAAACCCTTCAAACAAGGGTGCACTCCTCGGAACGGAAAAATAGAACCGGCCGATCCCGTTCACCAGACCGACTCGACCGAGCGTCGGAGTCCACGTTTTGGCCGTATTATCGGACAGAACCCCAACGATTCGACGCCGCCCAACGATACCGGCACTACCCAAACGCCACCTATCCGTCGATAGCCACCTGTTGAGGTGAATCGTGGGAAAGCTTCGTTCCCACCGATCGGAAACTCACCTTAGTAACGTGGGGTAATCTGCTACCTCGTGCCCTCGTTCTCGAAGCTCGACGACGCGATACCCAAGACGCACACCGCGTGGTATATCGCATCGAAACAACGATTTGTCGTACCACCACGATGCCCGCCGTTGGTGGAAAACTACCCCCCACCGGCACCCTGCAGAATATCGCAAAAATCACGTCCAAAAACAGGTTAGATAACTTTAAGTACTCTCCAGCCCATTGTACACACTCTACTAACCCCATCACCGATTTAAGAAAAGAAAAACCAGCCTTACAACACACCTGAAAAAAAAACCTTTTCTTCTTGGCACGCCATAGACCCTAGAATCTAGTTGAGAAGAATGGAAAAGCAGGTTTGTTCTTTTAAGGATCTAATTGGATACACCATTTTTCCGCGTATCGATAAGTTTCCCCTGTAGGCAAGTAGAGGAAAACCACCATAGGAAACCTCTTTTGCCGATGTATTAAGGCTTTACCCTGTTGGTAAGTCCCCCTTTTCGGAGTTCGCAACTGCTTTGCCGCCATTAAGAGTTTGATTGAACTCGCCCTGATGTATCCAAGCCGGGACGGGTCCATTTGAGCCCATCGCTCCTTCACGGTTGATTCGTCTACCTGGCACTTAAGTGAAGGTAGTAATTAGTTCCTCTTCCCAAAACACTCGACCCGTTACATGTATCTAAGCTATGGGGATCAGAGGGTGACCCAGCTTTGTTGTCATGGATCAACTCAAAATTGTGGGTGGCTTCAAAACATCAGATGAGCGCAGAGATTCCACTCAAAATTTTGACTGGCTTCAGCCATTGTTCAAGAAAGTGAGATGAAAATTGATCGCCAAAAAATCAGATTGAAAGTTGTTTTCCAGTTACTGCTATATGAGACCATCATCAGGAAAAAGGAATAAAATAATTTTAAAACGTTCATTTTGGGCACATAAAGGGTGAAACGGTCAAAATTTGGTCAATATCAACTTGACGTATTTCTTTCAATTTTGCATTTAAAAAACCTGAACACCCCTCATTTTGAAGGTGTGTGTGTGTAGAATGTTGCTCCTATTTTGATTTTGGAATTCACTCTTCAGTTGTCAAAATGCCGTCCAAGCAAGAAGAGCAGCGTATCAAAATTTTGCTCGCGCATCGCGAAAATCCGAGCTACTCGCACGCAAAGTTGGCAAAATCGCTAAAAGTTGCCAAATCAACCGTTACAAATGTAATTAAAGTGTTTGGGGAACGTTTGTCGACAGCCAGGAAGTCTGGATCGGGGGGAAATCGAAAACCGGAAGCCGCTGAGACGACAAAGAGAGTTGCCGGTAGTTTCAAGCGAAACCCTAACCTCTCTCTCCGAGATGCCGCAAATAAGCTGGGTGTATCGTCTACAACCGTGCATCGAGCCAAAAAACGAGCCGGACTATCGACTTACAAGAAGGTAGTGACTCCAAATCGCGATGATAAACAAAATACGACGGCCAAAGCGCGATCCCGGAGGCTGTACACGACGATGCTGACGAAGTTTGACTGCGTGGTAATGGACGACGAAACCTACGTCAAAGCCGACTACAAGAAGCTTCCGGGACAGGAGTTTTATACGGCAAAAGGAAGGGGAAAGGTAGCAGATGTTTTCAAGCACATGAAACTGTCAAAGTTCGCAAAGAAATATCTGGTTTGGCAAGCCATCTCTACCTGTGGCTTGAAAAGCAGCATTTTCATAGCTTCCGGGACTGTCAACCAAGAAATTTACGTGAAAGAGTGTTTGAATAAACGTCTGCTGCCTTTCCTGAAGAAACACGGTTGTTCCGTACTGTTTTGGCCGGATTTGGAATCTTGCCATTACGGTAAAAAGGCCATGGAGTGGTACGCCACCAACAACGTGCAGGTGGTTCCCAAAGACAAGAACCCTCCCAACACGCCAGAGCTCCGCCCAATTGAGAAATACTGGGCTATTGTCAAGCGGAACCTAAAGAAGACCAAAAAAACTGCTAAGGGCGAGCAGCAGTTCAAGGCAAACTAGCTTTCTGCGGCGAAGAAGGTGGACAAGGTGGCTGTATTAAATCTGATGGCAGGGGTCAAGCGTAAGGCCCGGCAATTCGGATTTGGAAAAGCGGAAGCCTAACTGAATATTTTTCCTGAATTTTATACTAATTGAACTTGAAAAAGAAATTTAATTTGATTTTTTAAATAAACGATTTCACCGATTTACACGCGTTTTCCCTTGACCAAATTTTGACCGTATCACCCTTTAAACCCAGTTTCATTAATATTCATCATTTATTTAACTGTCCTTGATAAGCGGCAATGAAAAAAAACGCCTCGATTATTCGGGTGATTTGATTGAGTGATTTTTTTAGCAACCGAATAATCGAGTTCAACTTGTTCTATTTAGTAATTAAATTATTAAGTAGTGAGTTCCAGTAAGTAAGTTATCGTAATGTAAATTACTTTATTCTCACCTCAAAATAATTTTTCAGTTTCGTACTTTCCAACAGAAGCTTTTAGTGTTCATCAGACGTAATTTGAGAATGAAGATTTTAGCTATAATTTAACTATTTAAATGCAAAAAAATACTATACTATACGTTTTGTTTTTGTTCACGTTTGTTGGAGAACAGATCCACTGCAACCGATTGGATGATCTATTGTGGTTCCTGTTCTTAGTCACCGGACCATGACAGATTCCTCCGTCAATCCACAGCTCTCGGATTCTGTAAGTCAAAGGCTGAGGTTGATACAACTGTTTTCGCTGGCCTAACGAGAGAGGTCAACAGTTCCACCAGAGTAAGCTAAATTCCGGTTGCAGCAACTTGATTGTGACTGAAATAAGTCACATATAAGTTTTCCCAACCGTTTTGCAACAATCGGGATACTTGGGAAGTCTTGATCAATCTACAGTTCAGCTTGCTGATGTAGCTCTTTAGCAACAATAATATATGGTGGTCCTGAAAAGAACCGTTTTTTCGTGATGGTTGAGTAATGTTGAGGGTGTTCAACACGGATGAGACTGGCGAGCTGTATGTTGTTTGGAACGAGGGTGACACGCTTGGCATAGATGGACCACAGCGACTCACGAAGAGATACTGAATCCGATCAGTAGCGGTGCGACTTCTTCGGTGAATGGATGCTCATGTGGGCTGCAGCTCGCTGCTTGCGGGCAGCCTTTCGTTGTGTACTGGAGAACAATGTTCAACACCACGCGCCGAAAGCACTGTTGATGACACCAGCACACACGGTGACTGAATAAGCACCATTCGGCGAGACCGGATGGAATTCGATTTTGAAATCTGTGTTAGAGAAAGCGCTGTTTGCGCCAGCGATCACCATTGCAACAGTTGGACAGTTGTGAAATTTTCAATATTGATTAAGTGTTCATGTTAGCAGATTTGTAGAACAATTTCCAACCGAATGGCTTGTTTAGAATTAAAATCCAATCGATATTGACAGAGTTATAATGGTCAAAAACTGACCACTTTTTTAACGCTGTCGATTTTGAGTTTTGGAAATTGCACCCCCAATATGCTGCCGAAATACGTAATCCTACGTCAAACATAGAATAAGCTTTTCAGTGCAAGATCTGTAGGTAAAGCTAAAGGTAGTATCTCAACTTATTAAATAAATAACACGGTCGTTATGACTGCACCAATTAGAAGGATACATTTTGTAAAAAGGAGAGTCACTCATTCGATGTATTACAACCGAGACACAGCTGTTTGAATGACAATTAAATTTTAGCTCTAGTTCAAGCAACTAACTCAAGATTTTGAAACCAACCCACATTTCACTAACGCTCATTAACATACTTTTCTAGCTCCAGCAACCAGCTGAGTACATATATAGCTATCTCTAAATCATTTTCTCACATTTTACTATGAAGCCCATTTCAACGGTCAACATATGGCCAGTCATATATCCTACCCAAACCTGCAGTTCTACCCACAAAAGCACACCGCACCAGTGCATTTTATTGCATTTTTCTCTCCACATCACCGGCTGCACCGTCTCTTGCCATAAGTCGACCGACCAGAGAAAGAAAAGAAGCGATTTTTTCGTCGGTTGGATACGAAAGCATAATTTCATAATTTATCGACACAAATTTAGGTTAACCAATAAAATGGTCAAATGATTGCAAATATTTAGTTGCAACTTCTAAACCCACCGGACCACACCACAGATAATTTTGAACCGGCAGTCGTTCGTCCGTGCGGCAGCCCCACGATGTGTATGCCTAATTGTAATTAGAAAAGTCGACGGAGATATGAAATTGTTGTACTTTGCTGTCAGATTGAGGCTACGTGCAAGGCTCATTAGGGCGTTGCATTGGCACCACTCTCAGGCGAACCTTGGACGTGGCCCTCAGGTGGGTTGTCGGCCAAGAGTGAGACTGTATGTGTTTTTTGCCGGTCATTCAAACCAAATCCCCTGTACAGCAGCCATGAGCCACGAGCGTCTTGGAAAGAGGTGGTGTCCCGAGGTGATGACTCGTGTGGAAATACCTCCCGTTTTTCTTTCAACCAGCGAATGGGCGATCGAACTTACGCACAACTGCAACTTGCACAGCAGTTTTCTGCAATTACACTCACCTGACGTCTGCGACAGACGATGATGATCAGCTCCGATGGCCGCGGGTCGTCTCTATCGCTCTACGGCATGGCGGCGTGTGTTGTTAGAGGATAATTATTTGCCGATTTGAAGTGTTCGCACAGAAGCTACAAAGAGCGATTGGTCCACGTCTGGGGGTCATTGCGTAACCGTGTTTTGGCTTGGTGGCATTTCTATTGTGTGTTTCTGGGTCAACATTCAAAACAATTATCGATTTGATTGATGAGCGGCACTGGAAATTGGCAATTAGCTACCACCAGCAGTACTGAGATGTACTTGACCATCGTACTGATCCACGTGCCGAACTAAAATGATTCCTTTTGTCATTCTTCTATCCGATCAATAATTATTGAAGCCGGTTGCATCGAGAAGTGCTAGAGCGAGATCTCGCGGTTAACGACCGGGCACTGCACTCAAATGACAGTGAAAATTATAGCCAGCGTTACAACCAGTTCCTGATCTTCACACGTGCTAATCTTAATTGATTGCAGCCAGTGACAACCAATCTCGCCCGAAGCAATTATTATCAACCTGCCACTGACTGCTACATTGATTTGTGAACTCAGTCTTGCGAAAATGAAAAACGTCCATTCCGTACCGGCAGCTCTTGGGTCAAACCGAACATCAAAGGGTAAACAAGTGGAACCATATTTCACGACAAAAATTCCTTCGTCCATGGCATCCGTCGTCCCAGCTCCATAGTCGTCGTCGTCGACGCATGGCATGTAAATATTTTTACACAGAGTGAAGAACACACGTCCGTTTGGATTTGTAGAAAGGACGCCATTACGTACGTGCCCGAGGGCTAAAATTCACACTCGAAAATTGAGAAATAGCACGTGGTCGTGCTCCACCCGATGCGGACGGAGAAGCAGCCAAAAAACTGTTTACACTTTACCATTTTCACGCTTCACATCAAGAACACGCATTCGGCAGAGGCCGATTCTCCTAGGGATGGCCTTGTTCTCCGGCTGGACCACCTTGCATCAGCTCTGGAAATGTGTTTCGAGCACCTCCATTGAAATTTCTCACTTCGGTTTGTCACCCTCACGTCGACGTTCGGTCGCCAATGAACGCAGCACAACTTGAGGGAACGATAATGGGATGGCTGTTTCCCCTTTTTTTGCAGCAGAATCCACCATCACCTAACAAATCCAGTCCATGTGAGGGGGGGGGGGCAGAACACCGATAGCAAACACAAAGTTAATTCCCACTTGACAAATTTTCACTTTATTCGCGTGAACGAAAACGATAGGTACGTGACGTCTGGTCGGCTGTGTGCTGTGTTGCGAAGTATTCTGTTTTGGGAGGGGATTTCAACGGATTGGATTTGGAATTGTAGCTCTTTTTTTGGGAGAAGGTAATATTTGTATAGTCATAATAGAAAATGGGTAATTTGGCGAGGAAGATTGTCTCATTCGTTACAAAAATAATAATTTTCTTGTCAATCGCAGGCTGTCATGTGACGGGTTCAATTCCCGGTCCGATGAGGGATTTTTAACGATGACATTGTCATCCTTCCTAATTCATTAGGAAACAGTTACACTGTGCAATAGCGATCCTTAAATAAAAGATAAAAGTTCCTCATCAGACACCTTGCCCAAGATTTCTCCTATGTTTCCATTTAGACTACGTGGCACTGGTTCCGGTAGGGCTCAAAATTTATGATTATTCGTCCAGAAGTAAATAGACATCTTTTACGGTAGCCCTAATGCTTGTCGCAAGCCCAAGAAAGATATAACCATAGATCGCATCCCAGTACCTAGAACAAAGCGGCTCAAAGTTCTAGGTATCATGCTAGACCAGCCCTTCACTTTTAGAGCACAGTGTACCCAGAATGTCAAAAACTGCGCCACGCGACTACGAATCCTGACCATGGTTGGATCAAGACTTCCCCGAGGCGCCCGTCGCTCACTGCTGCAGGTAGGCTCTGCGATCATCACGTCACGCCTTCTGTACGGAATAGGTCTAGTTAGCAGAGGAGGCCATACGGCCCTTTAAATCCTCTCCCCAACCGGATGATTAGACTCGCATCTGGAGCATTCGTCACAAGCCCTACACTCGCTATCATGGCTGAATCTGGCATGCTACCATTTGACCTTCTGGTACTACAATCGTTAGCACGGGTGACGATTCGGCTTTTAGAGAAAACTAGTAACGCCTCCGATCTTCCAGTCATTCAAAGAACATTACAGCTGTATACCGAAAAAACCAATTCAACTATTCCCAGAATCTGTCAGCGCAATAGGATCACAGAACGGCACTGGAATGTACCAAAACCTACGATCGTCTGGGACGTTAAACAGATTATTAGGGCTGGAGACCCACTAGAAAAAGTACGACCCATAGTACAGGATAAAATCGAACGACACTTTCAAGGACACACCATACTTTACACCGATGGCTCCAAGAGTGACGATACAGTCGGCATAGGACTTATTGGAGCTGGCGTTAACAAATCCGTAGCCATCCCTCGTCAGTGCAGCGTGTACTCAGCAGAGGCCTATGCCCTGGCACTCAAGACTTCATTCAAAAAGCCAATAGCTATCCTAACGGACTCAGCCTTGTCTTTATGCTCTCGAGTCCGGTAGGTCTACACATCCATTGATCGCAAGTATTGAAGCGGCAGTTCGCAACAAAAACATAAATTTCTGCTGGATTCCTGGTCATGCTGGTTGTTCAGTAGCGGACTGTAATTTCTCTCTTGGAATTTCGGAATTTTGATGAAAAAAAACACTTAACCTCTGTACTTTACTTATATATTTACGCTAATACTATAACAATAAAAATGAACTGTTCGCGACGCTAGTGAGCTTCTGCTTGCACGAATGAATAGCTCGGTTTTGCTCGGTAGCGCCAATCTTCTCCTCTCCTTCGGTGTTTTCAATGTGTTGCCAAATTGATCATGGTAGGCCGGTCACATAAAAAGCTCAAATCAAGAACAACATGTGAAAAGGGCATACAAGCTTCTTGCCACCCATATGACACCAACGCAAACCATCAACATCGCCGGATAGGGGAAGGTTTCCCCTTCCCGATGATGTTGTTAGTTTGCGTGGGCGACCCTCGGTTGGTGAGAAGAGGGCCTACAAAGGTTTGTTTACAAAAAGCTTTTATGCCCTTTTCACATGTGGCTCTTGAAATCAAAGTTTTCCTTCGAGCTGTCATGGCACAGCCCGAACACTGGTATTCAAGGAAATATTTCTGCACACCGTCTAGTGGGTGAAGCTAGAAAGAACGAACCACATGATAGGGTAGAGCACTACTTCCTCGTAATCGCCCATTTCCATTCTACCGATCAGAAAAGATCAATAATATCAATTATTTCACCGTACACAAATCAATAATAGATGTGTTCCGATAAGTTAGTTCATTAGCTACAACATACATCCTATTGGAGTGCATTATATGAATATTTACGCTCATTGTTCTCAAAACAAAAGCAGCGCTCCTAGCGAATCCCCTTTTTCTACGTTTATCCATAGGACGAAGAAAATCTAATGGCCTTTCAATGTGTTTGGACGGAATTGAAACTCGTAGGACGAATTTAGAATCAAGAAGCAGTATTAGATTTTAAACAATATCTCAATACTTTGTGACTCTTTATCAAATTCAATGGTACGTATGGAAAAGTGAATAAATTTAGAAGTCATATGTGACAGCAATATTCCATTTTTTGTTCAAACCCGTTCAAAAAAGAGAGGTTAAACGCGGGTTGTGCTTAGTAGGACGGAAATTAGATCAAAAACCCTATCCTAATACCAGCCATGGACGCAGTAAGAGAAGTCCAAAGCGTTATACGAGAACGATGGGACCAACTATGGTTCAATTCGCAGGACGTTAAGCTCCGCGAGATAAAATCCGACACAAGCCAATGGAAGAACAGCGCGAACCCCGCAGAACAACGGGTCCTAACCTGATTGAGAATAGGACATACGAGGCTCATCCACGAGTTCCTGATCAACAGAACAGACCCACCTTTATGCGAATGCTGCGGCTCCGTCATTGACATACGTCATATCCTTCTGGACTGCAGGAAATATCAAGATTCCCGATCACAATTCAACATTGACTCTTCAAGCCTGGAAGCAATACTCCACAATAATGATGCAGTAGAAAAAAACATGATTGCTTTCCTAAAATAAAGTGATCTGTACAACAAATTGTAATTAATCCAATCTAGACATGAATGCAATAGTGACAATACAAGTGTAAAATGTCTCTAAAAAAAAAATCATGCCATGGACCAAAATGTGGACCTGGCTACATCCGGATACCCGGAACCGGTTCCGGAAGAGCACAAAAAGAAAACTTCCTAATCCTGCTGTACTGGTACCGTCCGAAAGCTCAAAATTTATTATATTTCATCCTGAAGTAAATAGACATAATCTTCGAGTTTTACACTAGTCATTCGGAGACAACAGAACGGTATCTGGTTTTTGATGATCTAGGACGGGCGTTGGAAATGGCCAATTTCTTTTTGTGTTAGTAACCTATCGTGTGACAAATAAAACATTTCATAATTTTGTGTGTTTAGTAGAGCCCATACATTTAAGTTGATTTTCCAAAATGCCACGTGGTCTTTGATAATCCTTGCCATAAAATATGTAGGCGCAATCATCAAAAAGTCAACAATAAATAGATTTGAATTCAATCGCTATGTTCAAACATTTTTCGAAAATGGATCTCGGTATCCGGATGTGGTCAGATCATGGCATTGCATCAGATGGTATGATGTATATTTACTTATGGATGCAAAATCAGATATTTTGAGCTGTCGGACGGTGTCAGTACATGAGGTTTAGGATGTGTTCTATTTGGCACCTTGCCGGAATCGGGTCTGAGTACCGGATGTAGCCAGATCCACCTATTTGTTCAGGGCATGATGTCTTTTTACTTATGGTTGAAAAATCATAAATGTTGAGCTGTCAGACGGCCAGAACATGAGGTTTTGGAAGTATCTTCTTCGGGGCCCTACCGGAAATGGTTCCACATTTTAGTCCATGGCATGATGTCTATTTACTTCTAGGTGAAAAATCAAAAAAGAAGCTAATGCATTAGGAAGGTTAAAGAGTATATGAAAACAAATATACAAAAGTAACTATTATGAAAAAAAAAACATTACTATTGCACACTCAAAGATAGCTGGATTCTATAGCAGCTTTCAGAGGTGTGAGAACTTCCGAAGCATTGAACCACGTAATTAAATTTCAGGAGCTAGGAGAACTTCAGGAATAATCAGTGCGTGATAAATCTCCTACATTCGTTACAGTGATCTGAGCAGCTCCACGCCTAATGACGAATCGGGAAAACTCGACATTCTCCGA